CACCGCGACCTGAGCCGGGCGGCGGCCGAGGAGCTGCTGGCGCGCGCGGGCCGGGACGGCAGCTTCTTGGTGCGGGACAGCGAGAGCGTGAGCCGAGCCTACGCGCTGTGCGTGCTGTGAGTGCGGGCCGGGGCGGGCGCGGCGGCCCCGGGCACGGGGCGTTGTGTAAATGGTGTGCAGATGTGGGGGAGTCGACGCTTGTGCAAGTGTAGGCACTCGTCTGGTGTGCACATGTAGGGGACTGGGCGAGTGTGTGAGTGTAGGGGCTGGCCCACTGCGCTGTATAGGGACCAGTCAGGTGTGCAAATGTAGGGGACTGGGCCACCGTGTGAGTGTAGGGACAGGTCGCATGTGTGAGTGTGGGGACCAGTCGGGTGTGCAGATGTAGAGGACTGGTTTGGTGTGCAACTGAAGGACTGGTCTGTAGAGGACTGGTCAGGTGTGTGAGTGTAGGGGCTGACCCAGTGTGTTGTGTAGGGACTGGGCAGGTGTGCAAATGTGGGCTGTGCAAGTGTAGGGACCGGTCAGTTGTGAGAATGTCGGGGACTGGTTCGGTGTGTGAGTGTAGGGACTGGCCTGTAGAGGACTGGCCCAGTGTGTCATGTAGGGACTGGTTGGGTGTGCAAATGTAAGGGGTTGCTTGGGTGTGAGTGTAGGGACTGGCCCAGCGTGCTGTGTAGGGACCAGTCAGGTGTGCAAATGTAGGGGACTGGGTGGGTGTGCGAGTGAAGGGCGTGGTCTGCTGTGTGAATGTACAGGACTGGCTGGGTGTGTGAGTATAGGGACTGGCCCAGTATGTCACGTAGGGACCGATTGGGTGTGTGAATGTAGGGGACTGGTCGGGTGTGTGCACACGGGGCATTGGCCTGGTGTGCGAATGTAGGGATTGACCCAGTATACTAGTGTAGGGGACAGATCCGGTGTGCAAGTGTAGGGACCGGTCTGGTGTGCTCTGTAGGGGCCAGTCGAGGTTGTGCATGTAGGGACCGGCCCAGTGTGCGAGTGTAGGGGCTGGCCTGGTGTGCGGTATCGGGGCTGCTCGGTGTGCGACCTCCTCCCGCCCCCTGGTTTGGGGTCTGCAGAGGGACGAGAAAGGAGGGGTCTCTCCCGCTACAGAAACTCCCAGCCCCTCTCTCATGGCCTGGCCCGTCGGCGCTCTGGTGTGCGAAGGAGGGCCGATGGGAGGGGACGTGCCATGTGTCCGGACACATGCTCACGCCAGCACAGCTGACATCAGTTTTGTCCCCTTGCACATAATACCTGTGCGCGGAGCGGACAGATGACCGCTCTCTGGGGGCAGCCGCGGTTGCAGGTGCTGTCACCGAGTCGGGTGGGGAACTCGGGGGCACTGCCCAGACGGCTGCATTGGGATAGGGGTGGACACATGCACCCAGGCTGCAGCTACCCTGGTGCAGTGCTACCCCGGGGAACGCTCCCTGAGTCTAGCGAGTTACTCTGGTGTAGGGCAGCGTGCCGTGTGTCCGCTCCTCGTGCACCCCGGTGGAAGAGCAGGCGTCCCCGGGTAGCCGTGCTGTGTGGCCAGTCTGCGCGTGGTCGTGCGATCACATCCCGAGAGGCGGCACTGCCAGTGCCCGCCGCTGAAACGGGGGTGCTGTGGTATGGGCAGTGAGAGCCCGTGCCTGCCCTGGGGAGTTTGACCAAGGGCAGGAGAAAGGAAGGAGGATTACCCATGTGTACGGACGGGGAAACCGAGGCACGGAGCGGCAAAGGGCCTTGTCCAAGGACGTGCAGAGGTCGCTGGCAGAGCTGGGGCTTGATGCCAGGCCTCCCAAGCCTGTGGTTAATGGGAGCGCTGGACCTCCGGGCCCTCGGGTCTCGTGTGCTGCTGTCGCAGGTCCGAGGGCGCTGGCCCTCCCCTGGTCATTTTGCCGGCAAACCAGTCAGGCTGTCTGCTCCCCTTGCCCTGACTGGGCCGGCAGAAAACAGGCGCACAGCCCCGCGGCTGAGAAGCAGAGAGGCCAGGGCCTGGGCTCTGCTACCGATGCTCCACAGTCTTGGGCACATCCCTTAGCCTCGACAGGCTGCAGTTTCCCAGCCTGGCTCCAGGGGGAATTAGGTGGAGGACTTGAGAGGTCCCCCCTCTAGTGTGCATGCCCCTGGCCTTCTGGGAGCAAGGAAGAGGCATGGGCACCCTAGGGTGTGTTCAGCCTCCTCGCTGCCCTGTGCTGCCGGCCAGGCCCAGTGCAGTGAGGGGACAGGAAACCCCAGCTGTGGAGGCCCAGGCAGCAGGAGCATTGGGTTGGGCGCTCTTCTCTCCTGCTTCTGCGCCCCCCAAGCTTTTTGTCCTGTTGTTCGAGCCTCCCGATGGCCGGGGGGGGCTGGCTTCTTGCCCCAGGGCACAGCTGCAGCCTCCGCTGCTCTCGGCAGATGTCTCGTTTCTGCTTCTCACCAGCCCCCTCCTGCCGTGTCCATGCTCTGCAAAGGGGTCCTGTCTAGCATGAAGGGTGCTGCGGGGCTGTGTTATATGGTTGCGTCCTGGTGCTGAAATCAGTACCGGCGGGGCAGGCAGCGCTTCGCAGTGGCAAGGGCATGGTGCTGGGTTCTGCTCCTCGCCACTGAGCTGCTCTGTGACCTTAGGCAAGTCGCTTCTGGGCTCTGTGCCTGGACTCACCCAGACCCAGCCTGCACTGAAGGCAGCCGCAGCGCCCGGCTGAGCAACTCGGGGACTGCAGGGAACCAGCCAGACCCGCGCCCAGTTGTGGTGGCCGCAGTCTGGTCTGTCCCGGCTCCGGGCTGTCCCTTGCCACGCCGTCCTTGTGGTAACCTCCGTGGGTGGGTGCCTGGAGCAGCGCCGGGCTGACTAAACCGGCTGGGCTCATTGGGCTGCCCGCAGAGAGCTTGCATCGTGAATGCTCCTTGCAAGCTTGGAGTCTCCGCGCTGAGGACTTGGGGGTCCCCGCGGTGAGGTCGTAGCACCACGGTGGCCTCCCAGCTGGGAGCAGGCCATGGGGCTTGCTACGTTAGTGGGGTCGGAAGAGGATGAGGACCTGCAAGGTCTAGCGGGTTCACCCTGGGACATCCCCACAGGGTTGCCACGGGCCCAGGCCAGGCACCGATGGGCTGAGGACTGAGCCTCGTAGGGGCCGTGGAGCCTCCAGGTGGAGGCTGCATGGGCTTTGCTCTGTATCCGTGCATCCATGCAGGGGGCTGCACTAGGGCTTCCAGTGCAGGGGCTGCTGCTTCCCTGGTGGGCAGGGCAGGGGAGCTCTGGGAGGCAGGAGACAGATGCCCCACAGCTGGTGCTGCAGTGGATGGGGGTCTTCACTGCCCCTCCGTGCCTGTCCTGCCTTCTGGGTGCAAGGGGGTGGCTGGTGTCGGGGCAGATGACTGGCACTTCCAAAAAAAATCCTCCCGGGGATTTTGGTGCTCAAGAGTTTTCTTATGAATGGCATTTGGGGTTTTCTCACTCAGATCAGGGCCGATTCAGAGCCAGAAGGTTGCTCATTTCCCATGGAAATGCAGTGCCAAGTTCGGGCCTGGTTTCTGCCTGCTGGAAGGGACCTGGCCAAATCCCTGCCAGAGCCTGAACGGCTTTGCTCGGCCTGGCCCTGCGCTTGGCTGTTTAAGCAGGAGAGATGCATCCACCTCCAAGATGCTAGTCCAGGTCCTTGACCACGGTGGGGTCTCGGGCTGTGATGTTCCCCCTCTCCAGCACCTCGAGGTGCAGCGTGCTGCCCGGCTACTTCCCTTCTCCTCGGTGCCCGGCAGCCCTCGGCTCCTGCCAGCTGGGGAGATAGCACTGCTTTGGTTGGCAGCCTGTTGGCATGCGTGTGTGCACGTGCGTGTGTGTGTGTGTGTGTGTGTATGTGTGCGTGTGTGTGCACGTGCATGCATTGGTGAGCAGGGGGCAGGGCCAGGCTTGAGGTCGAGAATTAATCTCCTGCACGTGCCATTGCCCCAGATGAAGAGCCGGAGCTGACCCCTGATCAGAAGCTGGCGGGTTCGGGGCTTCCCCAGCATCTGCCCAGGCCCAGCGGCTCGTACACGGGTCGGTGGGAGGGCTGGGCCCTGTCCCGTCGCTCTCGGGCAGTTCTCTGAGGTGCGTCTGAGATGTCTCGCTAGTTTTGCAGTGCTGGGCCAGGGAACCCTCTGCGCGGTCTGGCTGCAGGCGGGGGAAGCCTGAGCTGTGTTGCCTCTGCGTGCTCTGGTCTTGCTGAGGGCTTGGCCCCCTCCCAAAAGAGTGGGGTGCAGGTGATATTTTGATCCCGGGCGGTTGGTGTAGCTGAGGCAGGCGATGACATGTTGCGCTGTAGGCCTGAAAAGCTGCGAGCTGTCAGCAGCAGACCCTGTCCTGGGCAGCCATGGGGTCTCCAGGCTGGTCTCTGTGCATCAGCGATGACTTCTGGCCTTCCCCGTAAGCTGGTCAGCCGTGCCCCCGCCCTGTGCTTGCAGTGCAAAATGCAGGGCTGCCTGTGTCGTAGGAAGCGGTGCCTTCCCCAGGCTCTGAGAGCTCCCCAGCATGAGGTCCTTCATAGGTGGTGATTACAGGATCATTGAGAAGTCCTGCTGAGGTCACATCTAGTCCAACCCTCTGCCTGGGGCATGATCAGCCCTGTCCAAACCAGCCCAGACAAACCTATTGTCCAACCTGTGAGCAAAACCACACGTTACACCTGATCCTGCTGCAGGGAAAGTAGGGGGACCACAGCCCCCAACATCCTGCTGCTACAGGGTTTACACATGCATGCAGAAGTACATCCTGCTGCTACGGGGTTTACATGTGCCTGCAGAAGTAAGGCTGGAAAGACCCTCAGGAGATCACCTAGTCCAACCTGGGATTGAACCTGCAACCTTGGGGTCATTAAGCACTAGGTTTTAACCAAGTGAGCTACATGCTTGAGGGCCCACCTGCCCCACTATAGGGGAAGGCAACCCCCACCCCCCAGTCTGGACCAGTCTGACCAGGGGAGCAAATTCCTTCCTGACCCCAATGCAGCATTGGTCTGAGCCTAAGCAGAGGGACAAGACCCTCTAGCCAGGACCCTCTGGGGTTGGTCCCAGCAGGAGCACTGGCACAACCCAGGCCCTGTCCCCAGTTGGGCTGCGGCAGCACAAAACCCCCCGACACGTGTGGGAGCACCAGGGGGAAGGTGGA